TCTTTTGCAGTTATCACTCTTCCATCCACCTCTATACTGGAAATTTGGTTTTTCCGTCTTCTCCCATTTGCTAGAGAGTGGAAAAAACTGGTATTTCCATCCCCTTCCAAAAGCCATTTACATCTAGATTTTGCCTCCAAGAAATCTCTTCTTTTCTTAGAATCTCTTCCAACTGCACTTTTAAGTTCCATCTTTCTATTCTATCCTCCACCCTACACTCTTTCTTGGCCTCCTTTTGGTCCACTTCCTCTATTTTCCTAGCTAAATCCTCCTTTATGACCTCAAGTTTTCCAAATTCCTCTTTGTTCCACTCATTGACCTTTTCCTTCAATCTTTTCAGTTTCTTAGAGAATCTCACCACTTTGTTTCTAGCCCTAATCACATCCTCTGACCACCATTCTTTTACCCTTTGCAAAAAGTTTGGAACTTCTAGCCACATGTTTTCAAATCTAAAAGGTGTAGGGCCACCAATAAGACTTTCTTGGTAAAGGCTTAAAGGGGCAATGATCAGAAGTCACTCTAGGTAGGGCTTTTAGTGTCAAAGTGCCCCATAGCTCTTCCCAATCAATGGAGTACAGGAATCTATCCAGTTTTGAGCACACTTGATTTTCTTGGAGACTTGACTAGGTGAAAGAGGCTTGTAACGAGGTAAGCTCCTTTAATTCTAGGGACTCAATCAGGGAATTGAAGTGTTTCATGCTAGATGTTAAGGGTTGGTTGGGGTTGTTTGTCTCATTCCCCACCCAAACACCACGGACCCTCCCATATGCCTCTGACTGTAGCTAGCTCTTCCCAGAATGAGTTCCTCTCTCTATATGAATTCGGTCCATACACATTAGTCAATACCCACTCCCCTCCATCACTCATCCTCTTGGCTTTTATTGATACTGAGTACTGACCTATTAGTTCCTCCTGACAGTCAACTTCCTCATTCTTCCACATTGTAAGGATTCCACCCGAGGCACCCCACGACGGAGCAAAAGACCAACTTAGATCCCTGCAACTCCAGATACTTCTTATCCACCTTCTGTCCAAGTCCGAAAGCTTTGTCTCTTGTAACATGACTATAACCGGTCTCTCCTTTCTTATCACATTCTTGGTGATTTTCCTTTTCTTTGCACTTCCTAAACCTCTTACATTCCAGCAAAGCACTTTCATTTCACTCTTTTTTCCCCGACCCTAATTCAACCCCAAATCCTATTCTCCTCTTTTATTCTCCCTTTCCCTATTTACAGTCTTCTGATAGGACACACCACAGGCTAGCCTTTCCACCTCCTTCATTCTTCTCTTTCTTTTTTTATCATCTTCTACCCCCTTTCTAAGATAAACCATTCCTTTGGCGAACTTCCTTTTGGCTTCTTTTTGTTCCTCTCCTTTTACTTTGGGTACCTCTCTACAACCTTCTTCTCCCTCATCCAAATGGCAGTCTTCCTTTTCCTTCTCTTGGGTACCTGCAATAACTTCATTTCCCCCCTCATCCTTTTCCAAAACCATCACATTAAGCAATTTCTCCTCATTGTCTTTTCCACCACCCCCTCCTTTTTCTATTGCACATGGGTCATTATCCGCCACCGGTGAAGAAAGAACTGGATTGAGAGGAAGGGGGGAAGAGACTCCCTAATCTTGAATCTGGATTTCAGCGATTCCTCCAGAGACAAACCCAGATGGTTCAGGTTCAGGTACAGTGTCCACCTGCGTAGCTGGGGGGAGTTGTTCCTCAAGTGGTTCCAAAGTCGGTTTGCTATGGAAACTCGTCTCCAAAAAACTGCCACCCTGTCTTTGTTCTTGATCTGTATCTATTTTCTTCTATCTCTGAGAATCTCCTGTAGGCCTTCCACTTTCCGCAGTAAGTAGACCTGTTCATGGGCCGGGCCGGGCCGGGCTTTTACTCATCATTAATGGAAATACGTTAGGCCCGAGCCCGAGCCCGGCCCGACCAACAGGCCTATAACTTGGGCCCAAGCCCGGCCCTAATAAAAAGCCCGAAGCCCGACCTAATAAAAAAAATTACAATTTTCCCTATTCAAATTAGAATTAAAAATTCATATGGTTTTTTTTCCTATTTAAATGAACAATGGGCCTACAAGATGTTTTTTTTCCCTTTCTTTTACGTTTTAAAACACAGTTTTACATTCTTAAATCAAAAAATTTATTCAAATGGACATAATCACATAACCCATTTTAAGTCTAATTTTAGGTCAGGTCGGGCCGGGCTCGGGCCAGGCTATTTTGACAAAACCCGAGCCTAGCTTGAATTTATTGCGGACCGGGCTTTTTGGCCCGAGTTTAAGCCCGCGGGCCTATAAACATGTTCAAGCCCGTCCGGGGGTCGGGTCCATGAATAGGTAGCAGTAAGGTTACCAGCCCCCGAATCCTGTATCTCCAGAATCTCCGTACCAGCATCTTCAGAGAAGAGCAATTCAGTTCCGAAAGGTTCAGAGTCTAAAAGTAGCGCGAGGTGGCCCTTTTTCGATTGCAACACCTCAGCATAGGATTTCTTTTGGGTCGTTGGATCTCATTCGCATTTTTTCAAAAAATCTCCCTTAAATGGCCAAGCAGTCTCTTTTAATCTATTGCCCGACTTTTCAGCTTCCATTAACGCCCGGTCAACTTGACCTTTCGGACGGTCCACCCAGCTCTCGCCACATGGCCTCCAACAATCCACATCATCATCTTCTTCTACCTTCAAACTGTTCCACAGCCTTGCTTCGACTTCCGACACCAACCACACCTTTCTCCAACAGTCATCCGCGAAGATGTCTAGGCTTCTTGGGATTTTTTCCAATCTTCCACCCGCAACTTTAATCTTTGCTACTTGAAGGTTTTGCATGCAAAAACCTTCCAAGACCCCACCACAGGCCACTGCTATCTTATGGAATATGTGCTCATGCCAGAGGTTGAAGGGTAAACCTAAAATCTTGATAACTATGGTCTTCTGCGAGATATTCAGTTCGTTACGAGAGGGCGACCAATTTTCCACTGCAATCTGGCCAAGTTTGGTTTCAAGGATTCTTCTCACATTCTGAAGTTCGGCCATGTCAAGTATTGCCTTATTCTTTTCAAATGGAATGTGGGTGATTTTCTCTTTTGGCTGAAGCGTCTCCAGTAAGATTTGCAATACTTCTTCCCAATCCTTAACCTCTGTTTTCACTTTCACAACTTTCCTCTTAAACCAGTCCCCATTCCTTCCATCCCATATTATTTTTGAACTCGTATCTGTCGAAAGTACTGTTATAGGAGTAATCTTTTTAGTTTAACTGTAGCTTTTCCCAAATGCTTTTGTTTTTAGCACTAAGGTTCTGTAACAATGAGATTTATAATAATAATAATAAGTCAATGAAATTTATAACAATAAGTTCTAATACAAATGTCTAAATGTAGAAAGAATCCACTAAATAATATTGGCACCTTCCCTTTTTCAGAATTCCACTGAGAAGCCAAATTAGATAATTGCTCAGTATTAACACGTGAATCACCAAGAGGCTTTTCATTATTTGTGTTGCTTTCATATTTCTTTTTCACTCGATACTTCCATGTTTTTCATTTGATACCCAAGTTCTTCAAAAACCAATTTTTGCTTTCTTTAGGAATATCAAATGTTTGCTACAACAGATCATGGTTACAAGTAAAAACCATATATTATGTTAGCATAAACAATAAAAAGTATTAAGAAATTGTAATACCTTTGCAAAATTCCAACAGTCTTCCTTAGTTGTTGGAGGCGCCTTTCTCCAATCGCTTACATCAATGGGTAGTTTTACCCCATTTCTTGCAAGGGTCCCTATAAATTGACCAAAGCTACAACTAGAATCTCCAACGGGTTGCAACATTTCATTAAAATCCACCTTTACACATTTGGTGGAATCAATTTTAAGTAAATTCTTACATAATGTAGGGCACGGGTTCTCTTTGGTTGAGAGTTCTTAGTACGTATTTCATTATGAGTAGCTTGTGGTTGGGATTGGGACTGTTGTTGGAAACGTTGTGTTTGGGGTTGAGATTGTTGTTGCGTAACTTGTGGTTGATGTTGAGTTTCCACTTCTTCAGCATCAATCGAAACCATACACCTAATCCTTTTACGTGACCTAAAAATCATAAATGATTGTGTAGCAGCTTAAAAAAAGTCAAGTTAAACAAAGAACAAATTGAGTATTCATATAAAGGGTGAGAAACTCACATTCTTATAGCTGTTAGTGCAGTGCAATTTTACAACAACGTATCAACACCTTTATAACCTAAAACATAAACACATTATAACATTAGAAATAAGAGAAGATCTATCTTTACCAAAATTTCAATTGAATATGAAATTGTGAATGCCAAAAGTTCATTTATGTAATTAACTCTCTGTCCCTCCTTGTCCCATTTGTTTGAGGTAAAAAAGATGAAAGAAAATTTGAAGGACTAAAAAATAAATGAAAAATATTGAAGTTGCAAGAGTAAAAATATGGGTCTAGGTGAAAGTGGACTTCTCTAGGTTGGTACTAGGGTAGAAGGAGAATAGGAGATTGGGTGAAACCGTGAAAGAGAGCTAGTTTGGGTTGGTTCCGGGGTAAACAGGAGACTGAGTGAGAGTGGAGTGGTTTGGGGAGGTTTCAAGTCTACAATGGGTTTAGGGAGAATGGGAAGATTTGGGCTGGTTCTACATTGCAATGAGTTGAGGGAGAATGAGTGGCTTTAGCTTGGTTCTAGGACTGCAATGGGTTGAAGGAGAGTGAGCAAGTTTGGTTTAGTCCTAGGACTGTAATGGTTTGAATTTAAGTCATCCAAATTGATAAGCATGAAAGTTTACCAAGGAAATAAAAAAAGAAAAAAGAAAAGGATTGATCAGTTAATTCTTAAATAGAAGAACTAAGAGAAAAACAGAGTATCTATAAAAAAAATATATAGAAAAACAAAAACAAAAAAGAGGAAAACCGAGGAGACAAGATCTTAGTAATATGTCAGGTTGGGTTTAGAAGTGTACTTTGTTTGAACTCTTTATAAGTTCCATGATTGTTTCAAATAACACCACTATCCAACTCATTCATATTGATTCAAAAAGCCTTTGCCCTTTTGCAACTAACTCCTTGATGGACTTATGGATCTATCTTGTAATCTTAGAGACAAAGCTTTGAGCTCGATACTAGAGTGCTATTAGTACTTACCCAGGAACCATGTTGTAGATAATCTACCTTCATCAGAAACACTCCTCTAGGATTGGGGATGCGGATTTGCGAGTCACTCTTGGAACATTTTTTTTTATCAGAAACGATAACTTTCATTAGAGATAAATTAAACTGAAATACAGAATTCAACCCTTATCAAAAAAGGTTGATCCAATAAGCATCAAACATTACAGCACTGCCCAATAAAGACTCTCCCTTAGAGTCCCTTGTTTTGCTAGGGCGTCAGCAAAACCATTTGCTGATCTCCTTACCCACTTGAACCAAACACCCACCTCCCTTGTTATGCTAAGAATTTCCCTTATCAGCTGTCTATATTGCCAAATTCCCAGCTGCCCTGATTGCATCCACCCAATTACCAACTTGGAGTCTCCCTCTATCTCAATCTNGTTTGGCCAGTTTTACACCTTGATGTAGTGCCAAGATTTCCGCTCTTAAAGAATCTCCAACTCCTATTGGACCTGAAAACAAAGCCATTATCTTGCCTTCATTATCCCTGAAAACACCTCCTATACCAGATGGGCCTAAATTACCTATAGAGCTTCCATCAAAGTTCAATTTTACCCTTTGTTGTGCCGGTGGGGACCAAACTTCCTGTATCATAGCTTTGGAAGTAGTAGTAGATGCCACAATACCCCAACTTCAATAAATGTCTTCAACTGAGAAATCCTTAAAAAGATCACAGGATTTCAACCAATGGATAACCTTGGAACTTGTTAGAGCTTGTGGAGTAATAGATTTTTGTGGTGAATCTTGTGGAAAATAGATTTTTGTGCTACTCTTTTATCTTGTGAGTTGAGAGATAGAAGCTAGCTTTTCATGCTAGCTTTTTCAGCCTTAGTTGGATTTTTAACAGGGTTGTTAATGGATTGATTTAGATTTTCATTTCATGAACTGATTCTGTTTTCACCATGAGAAATTTTTATTCACTCGTTGGGTTGGAATTTATGCAGTAAACATTTACTGGCAGACCATCTGTTCAAATTTCAGCTTACACTGATTAAGAAAGAGACTCATCAGCTTCAAAAACCAAGGCCTCACCTTTCTCTTATCCAAATATCTTTGGTTGTTAATTAATGAGGTATATGACTTCTGGTTTATGTTCCCTGGTATATGAATTTCAGTGCTAGGATTTTGTGAAGCAAGATATCTTAAATGCCTTCCAGTCATTCCATTCTAATGCCTCCCTTCAAAAGAGCCTGAATAATGTCTTTATCACTCTCATTCCTAAGATTGAAGGGGCTGTACCTGTCAAAGATTTCAGACCAATTAGCCTTCTGAGTAGCTTTTACAAGATTTTGGCCAAGGTCTTAGCTGAAAGGATGAAAGGGGTTTTAGACAGTGTGATCTCAAAAAATCAAAGTGCTTTTGTGCCGGGTAGGCAAATGATTGACTCAGTTCTTATTGAAAATGAGTTGTTGGATTCAAAGATGAGAGAGGGATGTCTAGGTTTGGTTTATAAACTGGATATTGAAAAAGCCTATGACCATGTTAATTGGAATTGTTTAGACAAAGTCCTGGAAAAGACGAACTTTGGGCAAAAGTGGAAGAATTGGATGAAAGCTTGTGTTTCTTCCCCCAAATTTTCTATTCTGATTAATGGTCAATCTGCAGCTTTTTTTAGGGCTCTAGAGGGTTAAGGCAGGGAGACCCCCTTTATCCCCTTCTATTCATTTGTATTGCAGAGATTCTTACTCTATTTAGTCAGAAGGCAGCAGCTTCTAGTCTGTGGGAAGGGTTTGCAATTTCCCCAGGGGGAGAAAAAGTGAACATCCTTCAGTTCACGGATGACACCTTATGCTTTTTAGATGCTTCTCTTGATCAGTTGGATAATCTGCTTGGGATCCTCAGTTGGTTTGAAGTTGTCACAGGTTTGAAAGTCAACCCTAACAAAAGTCAAGTCATCCCAGTGGGTGATGTCCCTAACCTCGAAGATTTTGCTACTGTTTTGGCTAGCCAAGTGGAGCAGCTTCCGGTAAAGTATCTGGGCCTTCCATTGGGAGCTAAAGGTTCCTCTATTGCCATATGGGATCCAATTATTGAAAGATTGGAAAAGAAGTTGTCATCTTGGAAGGCCAAGTACCTCTCTTTTGGTGGTAGAACGATCCTTCTAAAAAGTACTCTCTCTAATCTCCCCAAATACTTCCTGTCCCTTTTCCCTATCCCAAATAAAGTGGCTAGGAAAATAGAGACTCTCCAAAAAAACTTTTTGTGGAGGGGTTGGGAGGAAGAAAGGAAAATCCACCTTGTGAATTGGAACCAAATCTGTCTTCCTAAGGAGCAAGGGGTTCTTGGTCTGAGAAGAATCAAGGTGACAAAAATTCAACTCTGCTGTGTAAATGGATCTAGAGATTTGCAACTGAAAGAAGTGCTTGGTGGAGAAGTCTAATTGCACCTAAATTTGGGGTCGAGTGGGGTAACTGGAAAACTAAAACTCCCCCTCCTAACTGGAGTTATTCCTTGTGGAAAATATCATGAAAGTTGCTCCCTTGTTTTATGGGGAAATCAGCCTCAAAGTCGGTAAAGGGGATAGAATTAAGTTTTGGAAAGATCATTGGTGTTTGAATCATTCCTTGGCAGAAGAATTCCCTCTTATCTTCCAGTGTGCCTCCAACCAGGATGTCTCGGTTGCTGAAACTTACTAAGTTTTGGGTAATAAAGTGGTCTGGGCTCCTCAGTTCAGAAGAGGTCTTTTTGACTGGGAAATCCAAGTAGCTTCAAATCTGTTGGAAACTCTACAGGCTCAAATCATTGATCATAATCAGGATGACCAGTGGATTTGGACTTGGTCCAAGGATGGTGTTTTTTCAGTCAAAGCAATGGCTAATAGGCTTGGTAGCAGAGTAGCAGTGGAAGGTTTCCCTGCAAAACAGATTTGGAACCCTACCTGCCCCTCTAAAATTAATTTTCCTGTCTGGAAACTACAGACCATTTATGCATTCATTGCCCTTTTGCTGCTCAGGTGAGGCATCACTTCTTGAAGACGGTGGGGATTTGTTGGGTCATGCCTAATTCAGCTAAGGAGTTACTATGCTGCTGGAAAATCAGTAATTTGAAGAAAAGAGGGAAAGTGGTTTGGTCCACTATTCCAGCAGCTGTGATTTAGGCCATTTGGTCTGAGAGAAACAACAGAATTTTTAATCAAAAAGTGAGAGGGGCCGAGGATATAGTTCAGCTGGCTGTTGGTAAACTGCTTTCTTGGATCTCAGTCACTCCTGAATTCAGAAACTCAGATGTAACTCATCTATTGAGAACTCAATCAATCTGGTGTTTGTAGTGGAAGTCCCTCAAGCCTGTCCGTTTTAATAAATTTATCTTACCTTTTCAAAAAAAAATGTTGTTATATATATTCTGGTTTGATACATTATTGCAGCAGAAGCTGGCCAACTTGGAGAGTTAGTAAGTTGGTAAGTCCATAGTGTCCCCTAACAAGCAGTGAGTACCAACCCTCCAAAAGAAATCCTAGGTAGATCGACTATGAAAAGAAGCCCTAACAAATCTCTTTCACGTCTCCTGCTCTGATACCATGCAAAATATGGCATTACAGAGGTACTAAAGAACAAAAATCAATGTTGAAAAGAGAAAGAAAGAAAGAAAGAGAGAGAGAGAGAGAGAGAGAGAGAGGAGAAGAGAAAACCACTAAACTGTTTTGAGAGAGATTAGAATGTCTTAATCTCCTCTTAGCAGTCAGTCCAGCTTAATATTAACTTTAAATAATGGATAGAATTACAAGTATGCCCTTTTTATGACTAGAGTGTCCTTATTCTAAGATGGAATTACTTAACTACACTGCCACCCATGTACACTCAAAATAATGTTCTTTCAACAGTTAACAGAAGTAATTCATTAAAGATCAAGTGGCAAGAGCAAAGCACAAAAAGGCTGAGAGAATGAGGGAGCAAGGATAAGAAGAGCAGAAGCACCTTTAAGCATATATAGCACCACCGCCATGTAACCCCTCTACAACAACTGAACCTTGAAACCAATCCTCATAGCAATGAACAACATACAAAATTAGAAACAAAATTGAGAAGACATGCAATGCTACACATGTTTACAGCTTTAGTGGTTCTCCCCTCCCTATTTTTTTAATTATTAGAATTTTCCTTCTTAAAGCATAAACTCACTAGAACATTTACACTTGTGAATACTTTTTTATTTTTAAATTTCAGCTTACTTGTCTCAATTTGGATAGAAAGAAAACTGTGCTCTTTCCAAAAGGTAGGATAAAATCATCTTTCCAGAGAAACAACTATCTCTATGACCTTGACTACGATGCCAATTTATAATTTCACTTAGTGTGAGCACCCACATACGTGCATTTTTATAGAACTTCACTTCTTGTCATTCAATATCCAGTACTAAATTAGATCATTAGACACTAACTGATTTTTTTTGGCAGGACACTACCTAATATTCAGGAAATGGAATTTGTCTCTGAAATTTATGCTAAAACTTTTTTTTTTCTGAATGCATGGGCACTACTTCTTTCTTATTGTTATAAACAAGAGTTAGAATGGTTTAATGACCTTTGGTTTCAAATTTATGGGATTTTTCTTAATTGCTAAACTTTATGCTTTAAACCTTCACCCAATATCTCAAAATCATCCTCATATAGTGCAAAAACAATCAAAACTTCTTGCCCCATCTACAAAAAATTATGTCATTATTTCTGAAAAATCAAGTGCATATTGTCAATTTTTTTATAGCAAAGAGAAACTTTCGTTAAAAGAAGAAAGGTTTCAACTATTGGTGAAGAGCTTCCACCAAACAGGTTACAACATACTAATCAAAATAACAAAACATCCCCCCCCCCAACAATAAATCCGAGTTACCCATAAATTATTCCAAAATCGTTCCTCTTGACTCTTTGAATTATGAATGTACTAGTACCCACTCCATGATCAATGAACCAGTATCATCCACTAGTGTATTTCTTGATCATATTTTATCTTCAAAATATGCTCGTTCCTTTCCTTCCAAATACCCAGCACACCGCAAAGGGGATGATGCTCCAAAATATGTTTTCTTTTTAACCACCTTCAATCCTAGATAACAAGGCGGAAATCTCCTTTGGTTGAGATGGAGCTAGTTTTGTAACCTTGCTCATGGAATCATCATAATCTTCTATGAAACACTCCCAACAATCTGACACCATAGTTTGGTACTGAATAAGCCTTCTTTTTAATGAATAAAATTTACACTTATTCAATGTAAAACCCACCTTTCATGGACAAAATTCATGTTTAACCATCAAAGAAAAAATACCACTATAAGCATTCTAGATTCCATCTTCTTCTGTTAATCCATTAATTAGAAATAAAAAAAAAGAAAGATAAGAGTTTACCAAAGGGGAATAACTCCTTTGCAGTTCGCCTTGCCAAACACCCAAAAGCCACAACCTCGAAGTTTGAACCAAAAACAACCTAAATCATAGTCGAACGAAACCACCGATGGAAAGCTATGGATGACGATGGACACCGAATACCGCTGGCAGAATCTGTATGCCAAAGCCTAGTTTGTTGTGGTGAGGGATAGAGAGAGAGAGAGAGAGATGAGTAAATTCGCGCCTTTTTTTTTCCTTTTATGTATGGTCGCAGCTCGTAGGGACGAAGTGATGGTAGAATTAAATTGGGGAGCGTCACTCGTTATATTGATACACTGACGGTGTATGAACTAAAGTTATGTTTGGATAGGCTTGTTTTTTGTGTTTTTTGTGTTTTTTGAACTACAAAAGCAAGAAGTTGTTTTATTATATAAATATTGCTTTTAAAATAACCTTTTGAAGGCAAAAGTAACAAATAAGTATTTGGTTATGATGTGTTGTTTTGTCACACTTGATACGAGAACTTCCAATGTGTCAATATACATGTTTTTCTATATTTATTTTTTAATATAAAATGTTACATGCCTATTGCCATGGGATGTCATAACATATATTATAAATTATATAGAATCTAAAAATATATTTTCACAATATATTATAAAATATATTTTTATATTCTCTCTCTCTATATACAATCAAGCCAAATTCATAAGCTTTTATCCCAACATTTTATTGATATAGATTGAATTCAAATTGATGATGTGCATTTTGAAAGCTCCCAGCCGGCAAGTGACTCGGTGCCTAGCTGAACAATTCCTAGCTAGAAGGTGGCTCGGACGCCTAGATGAACAGTTCCTAGCTGGTGGCTTGGATGCCTAGCTGGAAGGTGGCTTGGATGTCTAGCTGAACAACTCCTAGTTGGGAGGTGAATCGGATGTCAAGCTGAATAATGATGAGTTGTATAGTTTATTGGGGCGACCTGTTGCCCAAGTTGCTTTACCCGGGGTGGGCACTTTGATGCTTAAGTGAGCGAGTTGGAGATTTTTGAGAAAGCTAAAAATGAGCGAACAAGAGAGAGAGAGATAAATTGCGCATGTACCTTTTGAGGTTGGAGGTGATGCCCTTATATAGGCATTGTTTGGCATGGGCTTCAAGCACTGCATCTGATATCTCTGGGAAGATGTGCCTAAATGGTCCAAAGTCCTCAGAGGTAGAGGTAGTCATGCACGTAGACCAGTCTTTGCGCCTTATTCAGTTTCCTCCGGAACATTCGGTGTGGGAGCCAACTTTCGAGAGACTCGGGAGTGATGGGATGCATGCAGAATTGGTCAGCGAGCACATCTCACAAGTCACCACCTGGACCTCAATCAGGTCAACAAGCCCTCGAGGGAGGTCGAGGTCACTTCAGCTAGTACTAACGAGGTACCACATGTCAGCCCTAGATGAAGTGCTACTAGCCACCCTGAGTTGTGGACAAGATCGCCAAATAGGTTTCCACCAAGTCAGCGACAAAGACAGGTCGCCAGGTCGGCAGCGGAGGCAGGTCATTAGGTTAGCGGCAGAGGTAGGTCACTAGGTCGGTAGAGGAGGCAGGTCGCCAAGTCGTCAAAGGTAGGTCGCCATGTCAGTGGCGAAGGCAAGTCTCTAGAGGTAAGTCACCAGCCGAGACTCCATCATTTTGGGTAAGGCAAGTCATCACCTAAGTGGTGCCAGGGTGTCACCCAACTGTTCTGAAATGCCATGTGTCATGATGTTAGTGGAAGGCCAAATCTGCCCTCATCACAAATAATTAATCTTGCTTACCCTAAGATTCAAACTTGATAAAAATTGAACTCGAATTGAGCTAAATTGAACTTGAGCTTGAACTATTCTAGAGCTTTACTCAATTGCACCCTTATTAGGCAATGAGTGAAAATGCAAATTAATTGATCAAAACTTCCAGATAAATTTTGCTAAAGCTAACATAGAGGTTATATATATATATATATATAATTTTATGGAAGCCTTAGGACAAGAACCAAACATTCAAAAAATTGACATTAAAAATATGGCAGTCTAGAAACAAGAAAAACGAATCAAGTAAATTATGCAAATTTAAAAAATCTAGGATGGAAAATCCTAAATGAGAATAATAATCTTTGGGTCCAAATGGTTCAAAGAAAAACACTTGAAACAAAAAGAGTTCCTAGATCACATAGCACCAAAAGTAGTCTCTTGGGCACGAAAAAAATTAATCAACAAAGTTGTGATCAAAGTTCTCAAAGGTGAAGTTCAACCCCTTTGTGGTAATGCACCTCTCTCATCCAATATTGTAATTGTAAAAGCATTGATTGTGATCTTATTCATTTGATGGAGTACAATGGGCTCCATTTTGAAGGAGTACAAATATAAATACGTACAGTACAAATAGACAGAAAATAATACAAAATACAAGGTTTTACACTCTACATATTTGTATTTGTACTCCTTCCAAACTGAACCCAAAAACATGTTTTGGGAAGATAACCATGGAGCGGATTGGCTAGCTAACAATGGTCTGGACAGTGAAGCAGCCTTCTCTCAGTTGATCACTTGGGATCTTAGGTTTATTGTTTTTCTTGATTTTTCCAGGAGAGTTCTCCATTGTCTCTTGCAATTGTCTCTCTATTGTAGGAAATAAATAGATGAGTGCAAAATCAGTAAAAGATGACATATAACAAAAACAACTGAATTATCAACTAGAACATACAACATTTAAAATAGAAAAGAAACAATTTAAGCAAAGGTTTGTAATTTTTTTTCTCATCCATATTAGACAACATTTGCAACAGTTCAAACCATAAACCAATTTTACAAGAAAAAAAAAAGAAAGATCAAATGATGGAAACACGACAATATACATACTTATTTACATGGCGACCTATTGTTATATATAAACGTATCATAAAATTTTATTTATCAACTATATTTCTGATTCAAACGAACAAAATGTATAAAAAGAATTTTAGATTGAACATGCATTTAATACACATTCTTTAGAAAGAAAAATATATACAAGTACTTTTGATTATATCATGAAGATGAGAAAATTATGTAACTTGAAATTATGACACAAAATCGCAAGTAAGATGAATTATTGTTATTATTATTATTATTATTATTATTATTGGGCCTTTTTTACCTTATTTTTAGTTTATTGATTTTCTCCAAGCTGCTTTATATACTTCAAGAATGTTTTCCCTGTTCAAGATAACCTACTGAAACATAGAAACAATCACACAGAAAAAGCCTTAATTAGATATACATTGGTTGAACATCTAATAATACAACTAAGGACTGAGTGAAAAATGTAACTAATGAGTTTTTTTTTTTTTCTTTATTTTGGGTTGTTGTTTGATGAAAACGCATCAGTTAGGGCTGGATGATTAGGTCTATACCATTTCGACTAATGCACCTTTTTTTACTTGAAATTAAAAGATGTGATAAAAATATATTTCGATTCTGATTTTGATTCCTGTCTGAACCAAATAGACAGGAGGAATAGACCATTCTGATTCCAATTCTGATGGATTTTGATTCTTGTTCTAAATCCTAAAATAATTAGTTGAGATAGGGTGATAGAAAACTAGCTATATTCATATTGCAACAAGCTAGAAATAGAACAAATGATTATAGGTAATAGGCAATAGGTCAAAAGATCAAGAAGTTGAAAAGATCTTTGTTAGCCCATCAAATGTAGATAATTTTTGATGAGGTGATTGATCCACATTTAAGATAATGATAAAGGGTCATGGTACTTTGCAGAATTTTCCCTTTCCTCTATCATATACTTTGTTAGTGGTCAATTTTATAGCTATTCATTTCTTCCTCTATATTATTTTTCATCTGGTGGATGATCTTATGAGCTATTAAGATATTGTTTAAATTGTTCTATTTACAAACAACTTTGATTTTATTGACCAAACTATTAGGCTATGTTTGGTTTGAAGGAAAAGGTAGGGAAAGGAAGGGAAACATAGGAAAACATATATAAGGTTTCTAAAGGTTTCCCTACTTTTTCCTTCAAACCAAACACAGCCTTAAGGACCACCCTTGAATAGTCTAGGAGGCATTAGATGCAACAGATTATGCAGCATGTGTCTCCATTATGTTGTACAGAATTATCATTAGTAAAACTCTAAAGGAAAACAATTTAACATACCCTTAGTCAAAGGCAAGGGGATCCCTTCCCCTAACTTTTTTCTACTTTATGTTGAATTTCCTCTTCTTTGATCACTGATTTTGTGCATAAAATTGTATCCCTTAGGTTATCTAGATATCATCTAATGCTTTTACACCATTTTTTTTTTATAAATGTCAGTTTTGTGTTCTCTAAAGCAAATTTTGATAAAGAATAGATATCCTTAGGAGTTAGGACACAGGTGAATTATGATGCATTTGAAGTATATATAATCAAGTTTATCCTATTTGTAACAATGAACCATAAACTGTGGGCATGTTCTATTTAGTTGTGATTTCCCTAGGGTAGTGTAGTTTGGAGGAGGTCCTTCCAGCACAAAGATAGGGGGTCAAAACAATTTGAGTTTTAGCAGATAAATGAAGAATTGGCTAAAACAAAGAATTCAATTGCAAACAAGAAAGTTGGAAAATTTTCTCTAATTGTAGGAAAACAGTTCAATGCATTTGGAAAGCTAGGCATGATCTTTTTGTTTTAATACTGTGCAGCCTAACCCATATATATTGGAGATCAGGAAGAATTTGATATCAAAGTTGAAAGGTTCTAGTGAAGTGATCAATACCCTGAAACCTCTTTTTGGAGGTGACAATATCACATAGCATATTAGTTTAAAGATGTGATAAAAACTATGGTGTTGTTATCAAGTGATGCTTGCTTCCCTCAAATTTCAAAAGTTTAGCAGTAAGGAGCTTCTATGTGCAGAAAGCTTCATTTGAAAAATGTCATTAACTCTTAAGCCCTAATGTTTGGTAAAGATTCAAGAATAAACGTTTCTCTGTTTTTTTTTCTTTCTCTTTTCAAGCAGGAGATGTGATCATGCTGCTCAGATGGTGGTAAAGATGGAACTCCAAATGCAAGGAGAAATGGTATATTGTTTTTGGTGGTGTTCTGTTATAATGTTTTTTTTCTTTTTTCTTTTGATATTCTGATTTCTCTAGCGATTAAAAGGCTTTGATGATGATGATGATGATGATATACTGAAATGCTATGGAATAACACAATATGGGGGTTTTGTTTAAATTAAGTTTGCCTCCACCCACCTGACAAGAGGGTTTGAAACACAACATGCTAAATTTTGCTTATATTAATGCATACTAATTGATGTTTGATGGCAGTGATTGAATAATTGATAGCAGATCTTTTATTTCTTTAAAACTCCCCAGGCTCTGTTTGTTTGCAGTGCAAATGTGAACAGGATGTCACCTTCCTCCTACCTCACTTCTCTCTTATATAAAATGGGACCACATCATCTTGCTTCCCACCTCACACCCAAACAATTAACCCTTCTATCTTCATTCTTTTTCATATAAAGTGGAACCATTTCATATTACTTCTCATAAACAAACAGATAGGATCAAAGATCTGGATGACAGAGCAGAAGGCAATAGATTATTTTGCAACACCTTGAATGGTCCTGTTGCTATCACTCTGACTAGCTCCATGGACCCAGCATTAGCCATATCACTCTCACTGAGCTAAATTGAACTAAGAATGTCCAAGCTCAAAATGGTCATCTGATAATAGCACTTTCCATCAGTAAACATGAATTTCAAAAGGCCCTCAAGAGCCGAAAAAATGCAAGTCAAAATTAAGACATTAACTCTGTTGTTGTTCTTCTCACTATCATTGAGGAGCATAGAAAAAACACTTCATCTTCTGACATCATTTGCTCAGTAGGCGCTGATGCTGGATTGCATTCCACTATTAAGGGAAACTTCTGTTCTGCTCTCTGGTGTTTGGGGTGAAGCAGGACTAGCTCTTTCTGCAGCCATATTCAATCGTAGGGGCCTCCCTTCCACTTCCTAATTGCATGTCAACATGCACAAGCACAACCATTTAGAAAGAAAAACATAAATGCTTCAATTTCAATTACTGTACCAAGTAAAACTTACCACACCATCCATGGATTCCAGGGCAGATTGTGCTTCTTCTGCAGAAGCAAAAGTGACAAACCCAAATCCCCTGGATCTTCCAGAGTCTCTTTCAAAGATGACTTTGGCACTCAGTAGGCCAGGCTGATCAGCAAAGGCATCTTTCAGTCCCTGAGAAGCGAGGCCCCAACTGAGGTTTCCTGCATAAATTTTGTGGGCGCTGTCAATGAAGCCCCTGTAACTGTTGCGGATCTTTGGACCCATCACCTCCCTCTCACCTCCTCGTGGAACTTCCGGAAAATTCACCTTTACACTTCTGCCCCCTACTTGCTGGGACCCCAAACCACCACCACCAACAATGGTGACAATAACAAACAACATTATCTCTCAGTTACAAGAAAATGTGATAATAACTAGGCTATTTTCTAAGGATTCTCTGCATCAAGATTCAATGATAGCATCTATGAAAAGCTTGGTGGCTGCCATTTGACAGTTCCCACTTCAAAGATCTTCTAAGTAATCAAAAAATGAAGTCCAATTCAATGAACTAAACAATTGAACAAATAAATTTTATTTAATGAAACAAACATATGGAACACCCTGGATTCAGACTACAATTTCCATGCTCACATTCTATCGTCTTGATGCAACTATTCCACAATTATTTCGTAAGTTACAGTTGATTCAATAGGTACTTGTTAGATGAGAAAAATATACTAAAAATCATCTCTCGACTTCCTAGATATAGTTTTAAAGGGTGCGAAGTATTCATAAGGCATGCAAAATTAAATTTATAGCTCTATCAGTTCCATTTTCTCTCTGTTCAAACTTAGATTCTGATTTCTGATACTTACAGAACCATCAAACATTCTGATAGCCTCTTTGGCATCTTGAGCGCTGCCCATCGTCACAAATGCGAATCCTCTGCTCCTGTCCGTCACTCGATCATAAATAATCTACAAATTCAAAAGAGAAAAATAAGAGATTGAGACAAGTTATATTTTTCTGGGTACATTTGAAGACAACGAAAGAGACGAAAAGGGTTAGTGTAATTAAAGGCTAATACCTCTACAGCATCAACTTGACCAGCCTCACTAAAGACCTCTGCAAGGTGAGAAGAAGTCATGGAGAAAGGCAAATTCCCCACGTATAATCTCCTTTCTTCTGCATATGTCCGTTCGTCATGTCCTTCTTCTTCTTCATCATCAGCGATGGCTTCATTTTCTTCCGGGTCTTCGAAGCTCTCAAAGGCAGAGGAAACATAGCAGAGGTGAGAGGGAGAGCGGAGTGACAGAAGAGGCAGGTGGGGGTTTTGGGCTTTGAATTTGAGGATTTGGGTTTGATGTTTCCTTGTTATTGCTGCTCCTGCAATGGCAACGGTGACGAAAAGGTGGTGGTCGAAGGACGAGAGATTGGTGAGTCGGTTGTGGAGGCGAACTATTGAAGCCGATGTCGAAGCAGTAGCTGTTGCAGCCATGGCCATTAGAAGCAATCTTTCGGAAACTGGGTTTCGCTAGACATGTAGAAGGAAGACTGTGGACGAGTGAAGAAGATAAAAACGGATTTGGAATTTAGCAGTTGTGAATTGGAAATCCAGCAAAGGATAAGCTGACCCTTCTGACCTGTACCATTTATTATTTATATCCATTTGTATCGGGTGTTTGGCTGCTGCATCTAACGAAATCATTTCATCTTTGTTTCTGTTTTCTGGAAAACAGTTTTTTTTTTTTTTTTTTTTTCTGGTCGGGGGGGTTCTCCAACGTGAATTGTTTTATTGTTTTGAGTTCGAAACATAAATCAAAGCATGGTTAAATAAATTGATTCTTTAAACTAAAATATGGAGTATGTGTATCGTCACATCAGTAAAAAAACAAAACCTATGTTCTTAAACTCAAAGATAAATTCTTTTTATTTATATATGTTTTTGGAACCATCAGAAGAACGTTTTTTTAAATGAAAACAAATTTTGTAGTACAAAAATTATATACTTTATAGAAATAATCAGATAAAAACATGTTTTGAAACCAGGAATTCAAAAACGCGTTTCTGGTTGCAATTTTGAAAAAAAAAACATATACACAACCAAAAACATATTTTTTGTGTTTTTTGTTTTGAGAAACAATCTGTTTTTAAACCAATTTGTTTTGATTTGTTTATGACAGCAAGAAAAACGATTCGTGTTGTAAAATGTCCCCTATATTATACATTGTGAAATTTTTTCTTGTTTTGAGTTAGAAAGATAAATTTAAACAATCTGGTTAAATAAATCGATTCATAAAAGAAAAATATGAATTATATGTGTTTTTTTAACTGAAATCAAGGATCAAAATTTTGCAACGTATTAACCCATCACCGATATGTTAGTTTTAAATTGATTTCAGGGTTTGACCTGTTTCAAGGGGTAGACATGGGTGGTTTTGTTTTGGTATATAAAGCTGAACCCAAATAGTAAGTGAGCACGTCCAGGCTACAGAGTACAAAGTGAGCATGTAGAATGGGACCCAGATCATCTTGCCATGTAGAAAGCTATTGGGTTGTTGAAAATTCAAAGTTCTGGCCTTATTTTTATATTTTGAACATTAAATCAGAACATTTCAAGAAAAAAATTAGAAACGAGTTCATCTATTATTTTTATTTTATTTTATTATTAATATTATTTTTTTTGCTCTTCCGGTGCCTTTTGAATAGAACTGTTTACGTATCATGTACAGTCCAAATTTTGACAAAAGCTAAGCCCAAACCTAATCTTTTACTTTGAACCAACGTATAATAAGTGATTAACCTCATCCTCATGTCAGGCCGAGCAACATTCTTGGCAAATTCTGGCCAAAGAAAGAGAGGCTCCACTTCAGTAAACATGCGCTGTCAAATGCAATGAAAACATCAACGAGATCAATTTAATCTCACTTTCAAATACCCAATAATACAACAAAAGTGATGCATTGACACTGAACTTTACGCACCTTCCTTTTATTTTTTATTTTTTAAAAAATAAGTCAGAGGTCGGTATTAGGCTGCCTACCCCCTGAAAATAACTGAATTCTTAAAAGATCCCTTGTTAAGAATATCGCCAACCTACCAATATGATATGAAACACCCAATATGGGGCACATTGAGTCCAAATTTTGAACCTTGCTTTTATCTTTTTTAACTTGCAGCTCTTACACTTGTATTTATGAAAGGAAGAAGTAATTAGTAAAATCAGTCAATGATTGAGCTGTATTGGGTATCTTTGGAATTTATCTATCTTGTCACATCACATCAATAATCACATCCACTAAAAAATGCAGGGAGAATGACAGTTCAGCCCAGGGTCAGAATTTATAAGCCCAAAGTACAATTGAGGTGAGTGCCAAGTCGAAATTGATACCAATTCATGGGCGGGCACTAGTGTTTAGAATAGGGGTTTCTGACATTTTGAATGTTTATAGCTCTGCAGTAGAGTTCAGAAATCTGCATTGGACCTGTTTGTACTTTTCCCAAAAAACGTATGCATTGGATTGGTATCAGCATTTATAGTAAAAATTCATGAAGTGACAATGGTAGCAGCATTTAATATTTTATAAATAGCCCATTTTATAAAAAATTGTATTGACAAATCCCAAACTTTTCCAGTAGAAGTAGCAATGATGCAAACACAACCCTGGTCATGAGTTTTCATTCCCATTTTTCAGTATAAAGTAGTAACTATACGCCCGTAAATCTATAATAACCATTTTACAACAATCGTTTGGTTACCCTCATTCTTTGATTACTCTAATCCCCAAGTAGAGAGGTATGTTCTTACCTGAGCCTTGAGAATAAAAGACTTAAAACATACCTTAAGTTTTCAAAAATTGACAACATATCTTGCTCTTACCTTAGGTTAAGACTTGAACTTGGGTTATGGAGTCAACAAAGCATTCTCCTCTTTTAAACCCTTTCAAGTCCCAAATCCTTACCTAGCAGGCCATCTAGCATTTTATATGCAAAGAAAAACCAGACTAGAAAAACTATATAACGTATTCGTTAATGATTCAACAAGTTTTCTCCTCTTTTGAACCCTTTCAATTAGTATATTTCCATGCACTTGATCTCCTGATCTTTTTGTAGCTTGATTTTAATGCAACATCATAAAAAATACCTTAGGATTTTGTTTATGCTATCAAACAATGGAAAAAAGCTTGTAACAATCACCTTCAAATTCGTTGCTGTAAACTACATTCACATTCTATAGTGGTGTGGCTGCATTTATACTAAACCTGCAACCATTAATAAAAAGGCTTTCTCTTCTTCTTGATGATACGCAATTTAGGAAGCAAACCTCAACCTCAACTTCGTAATCAAGAACCTGATGAGCAGATCCAACCCTTAAATTTGGGAGCGATTTATTGGGCCCTCAAGGGCCCCATATTCGCTGTTTTCTGAAAGACTCTTGCGACCGGCATTCCATCACCACCATCGTTTCCAACCCTCCATGATCGGTCTTTTCTTCTTTGAGGCTTCTTATGATGCTTATGAGATGCAGTCGCTGGTTTCGTCTTGGAAGCAGCAGTCTTGGTGGAAGTTAAACCATTGTTTATATCAAATGAGTCGAGGTCGTCCAGAACATGCTCAAGATTGGACGTGCTTGAATCTTCAACCTCTGGCTCACCCTCAGAATCAGATGAGTCCAATTCATCTGCGGCAGAAGAGATGGATTGTGCAATATCCAACACCCCATCATCATCATTGGACATTCCAGGAGGCATTTCAAAGTGGGGAAGCCTTCCATCAATATAGTCCTTCAAAATTTGTCTGGCAGCCCTAGTTTCATCAGGCAGCCCACTGGAACCTACGTATCCACGAGAGGAGCAGTAGACCCTCAGTAGTTCTACAGCGAGAGGAGGTCTAGATTGTGGTTCATAGGGTTTGGGTTTGGGCAGAGTGATATTGTAGACACTCTCTATGACATGTCTGGGAACACGGTTGGCTACAACCTGTACAGCTTCTCTATGTTCAGTCATGCGATCAACTGGCAAAACTCCCGAGGCAATCATCTCATATCTAGAGCTTGAGAAAGATGGGAATACCAACCCAGGGCAGTCGCACAGGGTCAGCTCATCAGATATTATCAACGTCTGGAAATGCTTTGTCTTCCCTGGAGTTGAGGTAACACCAGTTCGTTTTGATCCCACCAATGCATTAATTGTCGAGCTTTTCCCAACATTAGGGTAACCAACAAATCCCACAACGACGTGTTTAGATGCTGAGTTGCCTGCACTGCTTCCACTGAGAGTGTGAGTCGGACTTAGACCTGAGCCCTTTCTAGCTATAATTATAGCCTCTGCTTCATGCTGCAACCGGACCAGAAGTTCATCCCTGCCATAGATCTTGGTATCATCATTATCTGATTTCTGAGAGGCATTTTCCTTCTCCCAGAGACCAGTTAACTTTTTTCCTTCCAGTGCTGCTGAAGCAGCTTTTGCTGACCAGAACAGGAAGAGAATACCATTATCACGGAAATATTTTGCCCATCTCTCTCTGTGATGCATAGTTAGAGAAGATCATGAGACTTCAAAACCAATATTGAGAAATAACTTCTGTATCAGGAGAGCACAGAAAAAGGAAATTCAAACCTGACAGTAAATGGTAAAAGATCCGCCTTGTTAACAAGCAGCAATGTCCTTTTGTGCTCATCAATCTCTTGTGCATATGCCTAATATGTCAAACAAAATGATGTTTAAGATACCAAACATTTTTTTGCCTTTTCAAGCAAAAACTTTATTTTCCACCTTTCTTTGCATAGAAATAAATGCATACTTGAAGTAAATTTGTGTTCATACAATTATCCAATAATAAATAAATGAATTATAAATTTAACAAGTAAAAATTAGCACTTAACCAAGTGTCTCATTCATAAAATCACACATGCAACCCTGTGCAGCTGCACAAAACAGTAAGATCCAATGAAAGAAGATAAATTCATTGCTCTCTGATCTCTCCCCTACTTTTCCAGGTGAGTAAGCCTAAAATAATCTACTTAAGGTGTGCTCCTAGCATTTCCTTTGAATCCTAAAATAGATTACCTCACAATTTTTGTCCATCTGCCAAATGTGCGACATATATGATTTCCACCCCTTAAGCATCATTAAATGAACTAATTTCTGATTTCGTTTTAGGGGCCATTACTTGATGTAATGGTAAAATCTATAACAGCCACAATACCTTTAAATATTCTATTATTTAATTATGTTATCCAATAAAATATAGGGAAAATTCCCAGTTAGTAACCTGTACTTTGGGCCTAGTGCCACTTTGGTCCCTGAACTTTAAAATGTGACAATTCAGTACCCAAACTTTCAAAGCATGCCAATCTAGTACCTGCCGTTAATGGACCGTCAGTTATGTATATCACGTGACCTCATGTACGATTTAAGACTTCTGAAAATGTCAAAATTACCCTTGGAAATAAAACACACTGTTCATCATCTTCTTCCTCAAGAAGATGATACAGAGCCCAAGCTCTCTGCCAGTTGGAATTGCTCCAGATCATTCTTGTGTTTTTTTTTTTTATTTCTAATGATAACTGTGTCAAGTAAATCCCCAGTATAGATATAGGAGTTACATAATCCAATCTACTTGCGTTGATATTGAAAATTTCTTCATTCCCACGGTGTAAAAGAATTAGTACAGAGAGTTTGTGAAGCGTAGCCATGCGGCGTGCCCAAGATTCCAGCTCCTAGTCGGGCCTAATTCTTTTGTGCCCTGGCTTCCCATCCGGTTTCAATGTCTCACATGAATCCCCATCGGATGAAGCTTCAACTGATTTGGTAAAGGAGCTCGAAAGATCAGCATGGAGATCAACCACCCTCCTGATTTAGTCGCGAGATGGTAAAAAAAATACTTATAATAGATTTGACAGTCACACTCGGACCCTTCCCCCCACCCCCCTCTCTCTCTCTCTCTCTCTCTCTCTCTCTTCTCAACAGATAATTCTTGTTCAGTTTGCTATTTGGTTGATTATCTCTTAGAGGGAAAAATTAAAAGGGATGAAAAAATTGACGGTTGGTTCTGATTTTAGCAGATGGTTGATAAAGAAAATTAGATGACACTTGAAGGCCATTTGTGTCTTTTCACATTCCACTTAACGGCTGGTTAACGGCAGGTACTGGATTGGCACATTTTGAAAGTTCGGGGACCAAAGTGGCACTAGGCCCAAAGTACAGGGTACTAATCAGGAATTTTCCCTAAAATATAATGCAATAAGTCATATGTTTCAGCCACTTCAGCAGTTATCAAATGGCCCCCAGGTCCAAAATAAAAAACTGTCAGAAATTTGAAGCCAAGAGCAGTCTCTAAGTAATAACTAATGACAGCAGTTAGAAAATGCACATCTACCAGTGAGAATTCTTAATTGATCTTAGGAACTCCCATTACAAGCAAGACCAAATGTGTATTTGGATATACCTATGTCCAATGACTTACTTCCTAAATCCTCCACTTCTAGACTGATAAGTAATAATTTTTCCACTTTTGAAACGCCAAAGCACCACCTATTGACTTGAGACCAAGTTCCATAGTTGCAAAAATTAGATTAAGTCTCCTTTTCCCTCTATTTCACCTCTACCACTCAATGTTGTATCTCCCTCTAAGAATGCCAGATTTTTTTTATCAAAAACTGTGAAACTTTATCAATTGAAATATAATAGAATTAGATACAAATCCACCAAGGCAGCCTTCTTTTTACAATAGTCACTGCTACCTAATCCACTCTTTAGCTGTTCATGTTTTTTGTTTTTACAGTAGTCCCCACAAAAAATCTCCCTATTGACTCCATTCTAGGCCAAAGCATCATCCAAGGCATTAGCTGATCTATGTACCCAAATAAGCAATGGTCATCACTCCTCTTGCCATGTTTCTAATCTCTACCATGGCATTTGTATATTGCCATGGTTCATTGCTGCTACCTTTTAACTATCCTACAACCACCTTTGAGTCCCCTTCAACTTTTTTTTTGAGAAAATTTAACCAAGATTTATTGAGAATAAAAGGGGGGGG